GCGGGTGGAAAAATAACGGCCGAGACCCCGGGGCTGCGGGGAAAACATCAAAGTGGGGACGGGGACAATAAAGGAGCAGCGCCCACGCCTGGGCAAGGTGTCTGCTGCTGAGGCTTGGGCTGGGAACGGGGACCTGGCCTGAGCAGAGCCTGCCCCGCTGCCTGGCCCTTCTCCTGCCCCAATACACATCAACGGGACAGGGGGGCCCAGACACGGACAATAAAGTGTGGGGGGAAACAGCCCCAGCCTTGCGTGGTGCTCAGCACCGCCCCAGCGACCAGCAGGACCCCTCAGCATCCTCATGGTGGGACAGCGGGAATGGGACATGGGACTTTCACCCCGTTCCTGTGCTCAGAGGGGCAGCGGGGATGGTTTTTGCACCAGTGGGAGTTTGGGGCCGTGGAGCATCGCATCACCTGCCTGGAGGTGCCAGGAGCAGGCTCTGCTTTTGCTGAGGCTGGCGTGGCTCTGGCATCTCCACACCTTGGGATGGGGAGGACAGAGCCTTCCCAATGCAGGGGAGGTTCTTCCAGCAAGGAAAGCACAGGATCAGGAGGGAAGGCGGGCACGGTTTACTTTGGACGCACGAGGAAGGAGTGAATGTGAACAAACAGACCCAAGGGCTTAACAATGCCCAGGGTAATATTTGTACCAACGGGGATGAAGGCGCTGGCTGGGTCAGATGAGGAGTGTTCGCCCCGTGACCGGGACACGGAGCAGGACGAAAAGGGGCAGGGACAGCAGATGCAATGACCAAGCCAACACTCGTCCATCAGACCTCTGGAGCATCCCAGCTGTGTGGGGCAGCCCCCCATGGCTGCATCCCCTCCTGTCTTCACGCAAGGGCAGCCACGCAGCCCACGGCAAAAGCAGCTCCTCAGCCCCATCCTGCAAGGAACAAACCCAGCTGAGCAGGGATCTGCCCTGGGAACGCTGACCTGCCCCTTATGTGGCTTTGGGGCCACTCAAAACCACCCCGGAGCAGATGCACACGAGCACCACATTGCAGCATCCCCTGCTCACGGCTCCAGTACCGATTTGCTCTGCCCCTAGATGTGCCCATGGCCCCAGGGCCCCGCACTGGGAAGCCAGCGGGAGCCCTGACCCTCCCGGACTCCTCCAGCACCTGGCCGGGTGCTTCGCAGGGTGCTCCCCCTCTCCCCGAATTATCGGCTATGAATCCCTGGCGGAGGCACCTGGCGCTTTGATGCTGCCCCAGATCTACATAAGCACGCAGATACCGATGCAAAGCTGTCACGGGCACGGACGAAATACTTAACACCTAAACACTTGTTACCTCTGGCAGGGGGTGGGAGGGGGTGTTGCATTACTTGCAACAGCACCGGCAGAAAAAGCCATCACCACGAGGTTCCCGTCCACGTCTGGGCCTGTGTGGGCCAGAAATGCAGAGCAAAATCAATGCAGCGAGGCTGAAATGGGCTCGTTGCTCCCCAAAAAGCATGCAGAGTGCACTGCTCGGGGTGGCACCGGCATGGGGACACCTCCGAGAGGGAGTGGGGACAGCTCTGCCCCCCGGGTCAGCCGGGGTCACCGCATCCCCTCCGAACCCGCAGCCCTGGGTGCAGCGCAGGAGGGAGCCATGCAGAAAACCCAGCCTTTTCCAGTGCTTGAATGGAAAATAAAGCGGGTGCTGCAGTTGTGGAGGAGGATTTCGAGAGATTTTGGAGAGATTTCGGGAGAGCGAGAGGGGTAAAACCCCGTCCCGTGCACAGAGTCCCTTTCCTAGAGCCGCCTCTGTGCCACCAACACAAATGGCAGCTGCACGGCCACGCTCCAGCAATAATCAAACATTCGGGTTCGGGCAGAGCAGGAAAACAAACCCCAGCCCTGAGCGCACGTCGGTTACGGCAAACACAGCCCAGAGGCTTTCTCGGTGTTCCCTAAAGTAACGCATTGACACCAACGCGGTCAGGTTTGTTAAACAAATCCACTGCAGCCTCCTCCAGAACTCAAACCCGGGGCTCTGATGTGCACAGCAGCAACCCCGCAGCGCCATTTCTACCCGAAAACATGAGTTTCACAAGAAAGACGAGGCGGGGGCAGCCGTGGGTCCCCACAGCCCCTCTCCAAGCACAGATCAGAGCACCCAGCAACCGCAGCACGGCTGACAAAGTGACACCCGAGGGCAATAAACCTGGATCTGCTCCCATTAGGGTTTCGGAGGAACACCTCATCTTATCTCAAAAAAAATACAAGTTTATCTGCAGCAATTGCTTTGTCTCTGTCTCTTCTGTCACTCATTATTAAAGGCTTGCATATCATAATGTAACGACTGAGCTTAATTAGCAGATGTTTAAATGCGATCTGCCAAGGCTGATTTGGGCAGACACCCATTGTCTTTTAGGAAGTCTGAGGTTCAGGCCATGTCCTGATCTGTGTCCTCCTGCTCTGGGACACCTCAGCCACCACCACCAGATAACACCATGGGATGACACCACCAGCAGCATCTCCAAAGCAGCAGCACAGAGATGCATTAAGAAATACAGGATGTATCTGTAAGAACAGCACTGAAAGAGCAGACACTCTGAGCACTCCCACAGTAAAATTACTTCCTCAGATGCCCATTCTCCTCCCAAACCCAAATAGACCCATTTCTGCCCTCCCAGTTAAACCCTCTCCTTCCCAAGGTCAATGTGAACCCTTAATCCCTTCCCAATGTGAAGTCCTAAGCCCACCAAAGCTATAAAGGAGAAACAAGTGTAAAACAGCACAGAAGTCTCAGCTTGGACCAAAACCCAGCAGAAAACAGAGTTAAGCACCTACTTGCATGCTGGCAGAGATCTGATGTTTTGGGGTGCAGGAACTGCAGCACCCCTGGAGCTCAGGACTTTCCCTGGCAGGGCAGGAGAAGGCAGCTCTGACTTTGGGACCCTCTGCAGTGCTCAGAAATGGGTCCTCCTAATTAATTTAATTGGCTCCCACCACAGCCCCAGCCCAGCCCCTCTTGAGGGACACAGCAGAGCTTGCAGAACCATCCAGAAACTCAGCTGGTGCTGACCACTTCTGGCTGCAGAGCACCCCAAAACTTCCCACAGCGCCCAGGGGTTGTGCATGGGACACACACAGGAGTTCTGCACAGGGCCTTAGGGCATCTCAGCCTTTGTCTTCCAGGAAAACCCCAAAGCACAGGGTTCCTCTCAGAGCCACCCCACTGACATCTCCCCAGCAGGCTGTTCGCTTGCTGGAATGAATAAAGGACATAAGTCATATTTATTGCATTGATCTCCATACCAGGAGACTTGAACCGATTTTTATTTCTCCCTCGTATTGCATGTCTTTACAGTATTAAAATGATTAACAAAGGCATAAAACTGGAAACAAAAACAACCATGAGAGTGTCTCTGGGCACTCCAAGGCCACCGCAGCAGGGGCTGCGCTCCTGCGCTCGCACCCACGCGCGGAGGCCGAGGCCGGGTCCTGGTGACCGGACCCCGGTCCCCAAGGGGAACGGCCTTTCCCGGGGGGCAGGAAGGCACTCAAGGCATGGGCTGCTTTGGATCCTCCAGACAAGGTCCTGGTTCTTCACTGGACAAGCACTCTCGGGGCACCTGCTTTAGATGTCCATGTCAAACTGCTCTTCCTCACCTGTTGAGGGGGAGAAGAGCCACAAATGAGTCCTCAGAGCTCCACATTAAATGCCAAATATTTCACTCAAGAAGCCACCATCAGCCGTGCTTCAGAAATGCGGCAGTTCAGACTTAAAATCCGTGTTCAGGCACCAAGTTTGATATGAAAACCACCTCGTAGGAGCAAAATGTAAGCTTGGGATCTCACACCCAGAGACACCAGCAGAATTAGAGGAGATACCCTGAAAATGAATTATTTCTACCCCTGGATTTCCTTGTAGAAAGGAATGGAGAGAATAGCATTAAGGAATGGAGAGAACTGGTGGCAACCACTGGCACAAACCTCAGTCTCCAGAGGCACAAATGCCCATCTCACAACTCGTATCTGCACGGCTGTCACCGCAGCTCACACCGGCGAGCAGCAATGATCTGCTCCTCAGGACAGGGCTTCTCCGGCACCCAGCACTCCGGTCTGCTGGGAACCCAGAGAGCCACTGAAGGTCACAGCGGTGCAATAAAACCCACTGAGCAATACCGACTCCAGAAGGGTTTTGCTTGGAGCGAGCACAGGAGCATTCAGGTGTTTATTTTTAGAGACAATAAATCATCATGAGTAACTTGGTAGCTTCAGGTTGCTTCAAGAAGAAATCTCCTAACTTGAAGGAAACCTGGTCAAGAGCAATATTGCTCATTTTGCCTTTAGTTAAGTGCTCACGTGCCAAAATGGTCAACAAACTCTGTTTTCCTGCAGACCAACTCCACCTTTCTTACCTGCTAAGACAGCAACCGATACCAAACCACTGACACACACCAGTCAGGTATTGAATTCTGGCTACGTAAATCGAGCTCACTCGCACACCAGAAGCCTCAGTGTCAAATAAAAGGAATTTACAACTCGGGCTGATACCAAAAACCCCAACCAAACCCTGCCCTCATTGTAACCTGACCTTTCACAAGTGCAAAGCAGCTGCAAAATGTTCCAGGACCCAGAGGGGCAGCAGCAGCTGCGCCTGTGCTCTCCCCACAGGGCTGCTCATCCCACAGCAGCTTCCCAAATGCTAAATCCATCAGAATGAAGCGATTCTGACTAATTGCACTTAGCTAATTGAAAAAACATCCCCTTATTGGGGACCACAGCAGTCCCTGACAACCACAAGGACCCAATCACCCCATAGCATCGAGCACACTTTGCGCAAGAAGTTATTGGTGCTGACCACAGCGCACAGGGACCTCCTGGCCCCAGTCCCTGTGTGACCCCTGGTGTTTCTAGGAGCCCTTCACTGGTTTTCGTGTGCGCTCACCTGCGCTCGCTTTCTCGTCACAGTTCTGGACATGGTTGTTCTCAATCTTGGGCTCCTCCGCGGTCGGGCTGGTCACGCCTGGAATGTCCGGAAGGTCAGAAGGTGGCGTTTTGGCAACCGGAGAATTGCGGCACTCCATCAGAAATTTACGGTCGTAAATGATCCTGGTACCTGGGGGGAGACAAGAACACCCTCGGTTTTTAGCACTGATGCATGAAATACAGCCAGACGCGTAAAGCAACACCAGGAGCTGTATTTAAAGCAATGGGAACTATTTAGCACTTACGCTGCTCATTTCGTGCCACCCTACAAGAAAGCCGGGTCCTGTTAACACCACTTCCCCAAGGAGGTGTGAAAGCAGCAGACACCCGAGCCTTTCCCCACGTAACACGAGCCAGCCCCGGCACATCCCAGCTCGGCTCCGGGCACACATTTCTAGGAACACCGCTGGACTGAACAGCCCGTTCCTTATAAAGGAACTGCACTGGAAACGGCTCCAAAACCACAGAGAAAGGAATCCCTCCAGACAAACCACAGCCCGAACCCAGAACGTACTGGAAAACAGTTTATGTCTCCAAAAGGAGGAGCCCTGCAAACCTCATCTCTGGATCCAGCCCTTACTGCTCTGCTCCAGCACAAGGGAACAGAAACTTCTCCCTCTGCACTCCCTGAAAAGCTGCAACTAAAGGCACACACGTGCAGGGGAGCGAGCTCCACTTCACATCTGTCTGGGGGCAGTGAACTCTGTTTGTTTTGAAGCAGGGCTATAAAATAGCATGGCTGGATATCACGCTTCAAGAAAGTTCTGATAAGTTCCCAAAACACCGGGGGGGTTTTCACTCCAAGACCCTGAATCTGAGCTGTTTCAGTAGATCCAAAGGGGAGACCAAGCCCAAGGCGGATCCATGCGCTTGCGTTTCGCTGGATTTGAGGAGGCAGAGTCCGTGGTGAGCTGGGAAATTCCTGGGAGGCTCATGGAGGCAAGGACGGGGCTTCCTGGAACCACAGCTCACATATGGGGTATCAGAGCATCCAGGCCCGGTTCCCATTGCTCCATCACGTGCCAGAGCTTGGGAAAGGGGACACCCTGCAGAGCTGAGCCCTCGGTGCTTCTGAAATTGGTCTGAGGCTTCACGCAAACTCAATTCACTTCCGATTCTTCAGATTTAACCGACTGCTTTGTGGGAAATCTCAGTTATTTTTCAGTGGGCTACACATGTTGACCACTTTGAACAAAAGGACCTGAAGTGAGAGCTTCTGAAACGCCAGGGTATTTATTTTCAGTCATTTCAGGAGAAATGCAAGGGTTAGCAGAGAACAGATGAGGAGAAGACAGCACAGCGCAGGAAGCCCAGAGGCTCTGGGTCAAAGCTGGCCTGGCCCTGCAGTATTTAAAACAACGCTTTGGTGCTTTAACCGGGGGAGTTTGCTGTGAAACGCACCGATAGCTGTTCCCGTGAGAGATCTGTTCTCCTCCAGAGCCACAGGACGAGGAATTCTTCACAACAGCGACCACAAAGGCAGCGCAACCACCCAAGGCTGCCACCCCCAGTCCCTGGGGAGGTTCAAACCATTTCAAACCAGTCCTCCTTCAGCTCCTGCACCCCAAGGTGAACCCGGCAGCACACGGGGATAGACCGGAGCACCGCGCGGTCACGGGAGCGCTGGGGCTTTGCCAGGTGCGCACACCCGAACAACAAACACCGCCTGAGCCTCTCCTCTGTGCCCGAGACACTCATTAACTCCAGCAGCCACAGCAGTCCTGGAAGGCTCATTAGCAGCGCTGCTAATTGTGCATTTCTGTGCATGAACACAGCTGAGAAAGTCCTTCTCCTCCCTTCCACGGCATAATTACTGCAGCGAAGCACTCCAGTTATCTGCTGCTTTCAGAGAAGAGCGAACAGATGGCAAAAGCACCACAAGAACCTCAGCTCCCACCCCAAGCTTTTCTGCACAAGCACAAAAAAAACCAGCGAGTCAGCAGTGCCGACTTCCCCTTCTCTCCGAATTTTAACCCGTGAAGCACGTGCTGTGAAGAGGGACAAACAAACATCCACCACTCGTTCAGTTTGCTCTTCTGGCTGAACTCCAAGTACAGTTTCCTCACGTTGATCTTTTTGTGGCTGATGGTGGTGGTGGTGGGGGGGGAAGTTCTTAAAGGTATGGAAAATATTATCTCAAGCCACCAGAGCCAGCAGAAGCGCAGGCAGCTGCTGAGGCTGGAAATGCACC